TATTATTATATAATGACTATTATTATTATTATTATTATTTTATTAGACGGGACCCGCGACCGATGACCGGAGACCACCGCTGAGAGGCTCAAACACCATATTGTCAGATTTCTTAGGGCGACACGTGCTTCTCCCTCCCCCACCCCCACCAACCGCACTGTGCAAGCCATCATTACTCTCACACGTGCTTCTGGCGCAATTGAACGCCAGTTCGGGTGTGCTCAGCTAGTTTTGAAATTATCACCCCCGAAACTGTTCGAGTTACTACTGTGCAAGTACGATGAAAATATTGAATCTTTTAATATTTCCAGTGCTCTCAAGCACCCCCTATCCTTTACTTAAGCGAAATGCGCCCCTGCTGATATCCTACGGGACGGTATTTAGTTTCCCCTACAAAACTTCAAAGCTCGTGTCAAAAACAAACGTTGTTCCCAACCCACTTCTGCATAGTCCAGACTCTTTAGCTAAAAAACATAATAAAGTAATTATAATTTTTAAAACATTAATTATTTTAAAAGTATTAAAAAACTATTTAGCGAGAACTACCAAAAATCTTTTATGCCAATAGAATAGGAATAATGTGTTAAGCAATTTTGCTGAAAGATTCAGAGGATAATAGACTCAACTGATTATATCGAAGAAACACCTGCTCTCTGAGCCGTTGTTATATTAAACATGTTGTAATATTGGACACCTTGGCTGTATGTGCTGGATAGGATGCTGTATAAAATTCGTAAGAAAATACAGACAATATGTTACAAAAAATGGCAAAATTGTTCAAATTAAAACTTTCTGCCAATCTTTTCAGCTATTATTCAGTAGTTTTCATTACTTCAGTTGCGTTTTGATTGTTATTCGTGCACAGCACAAGTAGTTGTGGCGGTATAGTCCTTCATAGTAATATTGTTTCTCCCAACTAATTGGCGAGGCGAAGGATCAAGGATTAAGTATGTAATAGCACAATCATAAATATTACAATTACAATTACATAACAAACAAACAACGGCTGTAACTATTTATAATATAATACCATGTAATAATGTATGTTTATAATATGGTATAGTAACTTTTAGGACAGGAGCATTAGGTATTTATTTTTCTACAATAATCATTTGCAAAACTACACAATGGATGGCGAGGTGATTAAGCTGTAGCAATTAGCATCGGATAATTGTGGACCAACGATTATGTAAAAGTATGATTTTTATTTCGCCTTATGTGTAGGTACAGATCAACGATAATAGCTGAAAAATAATTATAGACTACGGTTTTAAAATCGTTTGATTTACCGTATAATATGATCTGTTCAAAACGCATAATTAAATTGGAAAATAGAGAAGGGTATGAGCTACAGTTTAGTTGTTAAACAACTAAGGTGGCGCTATTAAAATGACTAATTAAATTATTTCAATGTTTTATTGTCTGTGCACTACCATAATAGTTAAATAATAATAATATGTAATGGTAAAACAGTCGATTATAGAACGCGGTCAGCTAGTTTTCAGTAACTTTTATTAATAGGAAACAGCCAACAGGAAATAAATTAATAATATTTTACCTAATAACGTAAAATCCCGTTTTTGGTTATGTCCAGTCGAGGTCATTGCATTTTTGTAATTGTAGTTGTTATATTAAAATTATAGGTCCAATACCAGTAACCAGTAAGTGTATAGTGGTAAATGTGTTTTGCGCGCAAAGGTTTGTGTGCCATAAGAGATCATATGCGCCATCTACCCATGTAAAGATCCAATACTACCACAACACATGGCGTGTGTTTGATGCCGTTTAAAAGTTCTATATTGCTTACTAAATGCCAGTTATTATTATTTCAATATTGTACAATTAACACATACAAATATAACTAACCACTACAATGAATGTACATATGTACAATTTAATACAACTACTAATTAAGTTTGTGTTAAACTTAATAGACAGTATTTTACATGTTAAAAACATATTAGCTGAAAATAGTCTACAGTTAAAATGTCTAACAAAACTGTAATTGAAATCTGTAAAATTTATTTCTTTAACACATTTATTGAAATCTCTTCTGTGACGGTAACATAATCCTCATATTTTGTCGTTTTGAATGAAACTTTTTTAAAAAGTTTAACTATAATATTATCCATTTAAGCTTCTTGAAAACTTACTCAAATGACATATTCACATATTATTACCTAAATAAATGTATTGTGCTGTACAATTATTATGATATTTAAGAATCGATTGCTCAGTTGAATATTTTCTAGGTATACTAAATATTCATAAATAAAACGTATAACACATAATAATATAAATCCAAATAATTAGCAAAATACTAAGAAAATTAATACATTATTTATGATGTTTATAAATGCTGGATTTTTAAGATTTTCGTTTTTCTTTATTCAAGTTAAAAAATACAAATACAAGTATTTCCTTATAACAGCTATTCTTTACATAGTTGATTTTATAGAGGGTACAAAATGATACCATTGTATTGCTTAAAGATCTTCATCCGTGTTTAAAGATAATAATTTTAAAAATTGTGTTAGGATATTAGGTATACAATTATGTATAAAGTATATATAGGATGTAGTTATAAAACTAACCATAAGACATTTTATTAAATTTACAGCGAAACTAGTCGAAAAATGTAATATTAAAAAGGGTGGATAGCAAAGAAGACATTCGCTTAAGGGAAGAAATGTCCAAATGTAAGACGAGAACAATAAGTTATTGGTTAACTACAGAAATATTAAGTTTATGGTTCCTTGGATTGACCGGCATAGTGTGCTATGATTAACCCATTGCATTGGTTGGACTATATTATAATTTATTAATATTTCTTGTGTAAAACTAAGACTAGGGAATGGATCTAATTGATAGACAATACAAGAGAGAGAAGAGGATTTAGCCAAAACATCAGTGATCTCATTATCAGTAATATCGACTAGCCAACTTGTTTGATACTGAATTTTGAGCGACAAAACTCTGTTTCAGGTATTATAATATTATGTAAAAAAATATGTGACAATATAACTATAATCCATATTATCATCATCATCATCATGTAGCTTAACGGGCCATGAAGGCCCAACGCTGCCATCATGAGATGGTTTCTTGACGAATTCGCTTCCGGGACGGGTCGTCAATCCGTCGCCGGAGAGGGGATGGCGGTTCCTTTTTACCGGACGATTGCTCGCCAGCAAACGGAGCGCCTGTGACCGAGTGTCGAACCGACGACAGTGAGCGCTAACACACTGCCGCCTTACCCACTCGGCCACTCCTCCTCTTAATCCATATTATCATCTAATAATAATCTAACTTATCCTTAGTTTTTCCGTATAAACTTTTATGTTTTTAATCTTTCCTCGGTACAACCGAGAAAATTTTGATTTCAATTTGTGATTTATTTTTTTAGTTATTTGTTTCACAACTCACAAGCGTATTTACAGGAGGGGCCTATCAATGTGACATCATCTCCAGAGCTTTAATTTTAATAAATAAATGTATAATATAAATATAATAATGATATGAAAAATATTACAATACATAGCTGATTACTTATGCTGATAAGAGAAATCTGATAAAGGATTAGTGATGAGATAGTACTAATAAGTGATATCTTATAATAGCTCCTGGTAAGATATTTATGCGAAGAGACGAGAGGGTAGGGAAGAGAGTAACATGGACATAAACATAAACGTGAACCTGCTAGCCTATTAGGCACCATAAAACATAATCATGATCAAATGGTCTTCCTTCGAGGAAAGAATTAATCGGTTAAATTAAATTTCACCAAACAAATACGTTTTTTGAAGAACTAGTTTTTCTTAATATTCAAACTTTTACAAATGGATGAAAATACAATTGAAACTTAAAAACAACAAACAATGTAGATAAAAAAAAAACTGTTACACTTGTAGAAATATTATAGCTCACCTTCTTTATAGTCCGGTCTTTAAGATAAGATTTACATAAGATAGCCAACGGTATATTGTGCTTGGTGCATATCAACCCCTAAAAAATACTGTACACAGATTCTAAATGTCTAAAAAGGCCCTCAAAAAATTTATATTTTCCAAAATTTCACAGCGAATTTTTTCCCCCGGCGAATGTTCTTCAAGTATAGCACAAAACTCATAGGTCTCCGAATCTATGATAACGCTAAAGGTTAGGTTAGTTAGTTTATTGTTTGGTGAGTGCCGTGCTGCACTCGGTACCTCGAAGTCGGCCGGTGCTTAGGGATGCTTGACGAAGACCGACTCGCCCGTGCTGAGTAAGTACACTTCGGTAGGTAGAGCGTGTCCGGTGAGTTGTGGAGGTCCGAGCAAAATGACCGAGGGTCGTCGGTCGGGGTCCGGAAATTTCATTAAAATACAAAAAAAACGGTTACGCCGAAGGGTCGGCGGACGATGCGCACATGTGTGTGTACAGAACCGTAAGAGGGGAAGGTTTAAAAAAAAAAAGGAAAAACGTTTTGTTTCTCGCAGAAGGGTTAATGCGGCTAGACCCTCGGCGATGTGCGCGCAAAGACAATGGCGTCATTCCGAGTAATTAGACCGTGTATTGTATTATCGTCGGGTCGGGCGGGCGGGGGCGGGGGCGGATGGGCGTCACAGGCACACCAGTAGTGGCCACTATGCATGTCGTTAGTCCCTTTGACCGTCCCGGGCGGCGGCGTCGGCGGCGGGGGCGCGGACCAAGAACAGACGGACCGCCGCCGCCGCCGCGGGGACGGACTCTGGTTTGGGGTCTTGGCGCTGTGGCGGCGCGCCGCCGGCTTGCGTCTTTGCGGCCGCGCACGCCAAAGGTGTAACCCTCCAGACCGCCGGTGAGTGCGTGCGTGCGTCCGTGCGTGCCCATGTGGGCGTCCCGCGAAGCTTTCGAAACACCCGAATATTGCGGTCAACACACACACACACACGTACACGTACACGTACACTCGGGTCGCGCTCGCTCGGCCACGCGCATATTACACGCCGCCGTCGCCGGTCACACTTGGTGCGTGCCGATATAGCAAACGCACCCGCGGCGAACCGGACCGAGGTCGACGGTTTTCTTTTTCTTCAAAGTATTGTAACGGATTTTTTTTTTCGTTTGGTTCGTTCACCGGCCCCACGTGCGTTTCGGGTTTGTGTATTTATTGTTTTTCCGTCGACGTTGACGGGTTTGGTGTTTTTTTGACGCGGGCGGCGGAACGTGCGAGGGGACGGGGACAGCGGAAAAAGAGCGGGAAAAACGGTCGTAAAAAAAAAAAAAAAAATAAACACCTCCACTCACTCCACCACCGCGGCCGGAAGGTACGCCGCCCGTCACTCGCAAACGCGGCCGCCGTCGAAACTTTTATTTATTCTTTATTTAACGGCGCCGCCGTGGTTGTGTTTTTTTTTTCAGTATAAAAAAACGACCTTGAAACGTTTGTTTTTTTTTTTTCGTTACCGCGACAGATCGACCGCAGCAGATCCGTCCGACGGATTCGCCTTTTTCGCGATAAGAAGGTCAGTGATGTTATGAAAATTAGTTGGTATGTTTTTTTTAAAAGTTATTCACAAAACAATTAGTATTACATTAGAAATTAAGCCGGCTAATTAATTCTGCTTGTCTGATGTATTAAGTGCGTAATAACAAAACGATTTTATAATAATAATAATAATATGTAAAGCACGGAATAGTATGCCAAAAGTAGGTACTGTTTACATACAAAATGTATAGATTTGGTTGATGTTTATCTGTAGGTCGACGAAGTCCTTAAGGGTAAATCGACAAGATAAACGTGAATAACGTACTTATTAAATTGTATATAGCAAATAGCTTTTTGTGAAAACATAATATTACAAACAAAGTAATTAAGTATAATATCGAGCATCAAATTCGATAAATCGAATATCGTTTTGTAGTTGTTCTCAAGTCGTCCACACATCCCAATTTAAATCACAAATTCTATAGAATATTACAGGTAGTGTATTTTAAACGAAACTATGTATCACTTTCAAACCGTATAAAATGTCTCATTGACCAACTGTGCATGTAATTTAAGTATAGAATCGGAAAATTAAAAAAACATTATCTTTAAACTTATAATAAAATGTATTTTAAATGTTAACTTGGTCATTTACTGTTTTACAATGATAACAGGATATATCGATAGATAACATATTTTATGTTAAAAACTTGAACTTGTTTTGTAAATCAGAAAATATCACACATCGGGCAAAAAAACTTTAACGCTCAGTAATTTATTTCTTTGATGAAAAATACATCAATTTATAATTTATTTATGATTGAACTCGTGCTGAGCTAAGGTAAAAATAATTAAAAACCTTCAACTTCTACATTTCATACTAATTTGATTTTAACTCCAATCGCATAATATAGATATTGTTATAAATTATCATGGTTGTTTAAAATGTTGATAAAATTGAGATATATTAAATGACATAACATAGGTAATAATTTTTCAAATAAGATCTCGCGAGATGCGTCTAATTCATTTTTAATTTTGATAAAACTGTTACTAATTATTTCAAGAAAAACATATTTTATTAATGGATTTTTATGGGTGTAATGCGAAATAAGATTTTTAAATGAATATTATTTTATGTATCTCGCTACACGAAAAATCACAACACAAATATTGATAAAAATCGTACGAAGCTTCTACTATATGAATTTATCAATATGATAAATATTTTGTTCATATGACTTGGGCCGAAAAACATTTAAAATATTTATAAAGTATGAATTTTGAATGGTCGTGTGTTTAATTAAAATGATAAATATATGTTTTTTATATATTTTATAATTTCTTCGTTTCAACAATACCTATTACTATCATCATTTCATATTTAAATTTTGATTTTTTATAATAAATGTTATGAATTTGTGAAAATTAACAATTTCATATTATCTAGTACTGTTATAAGTTATAACTTTATAAAAAACAATCGTGCCTAAATATGAGGGGGGGGGGATTATTTAACAAAAACGTTAAATAGCGTTATTTGTATTTAACGTTATTCATTTTTAAAAAGTGATTTAATTACGTTGTTCGAAATTCAAACTTTTTACTTTCAAAATATGTTACCGTTAATTATTGTTTGTTACGTTTTCGTTAATTTGTTATTGATATGGCATGAATTATGTTTACTGACACGATTAGGTATCGCTTTATTATTATTTGTTTTCAACGTTATACGCATTACTTTAGGAATAACGTTTATAACTAAACTGAATAATTGACATTAATAATTAGTGTTCGTAAAACAGCAACAGGTACATCAAATTCTAATATATTATGTTGACGATGATTTTATTTTGAATTGGACGTGATTTTTTAAATTGGTTTTGATTTTGAAACATCCATTTCGACACATTTACGTTTCAGCCGCCTCCTTATTTAATCTTGCCAACAATTCGTTACTTGCCTACTTTATTTCCAGACTCATTGCAGCTTTTTTATGCATTTTTTTTAGCATACACAATTATAATTTGTAATGTTTATTTTTGTACTTTTTTTTAGAATCAGACCGGAACGTATTTACCGGACGAACTTGCCAGGGCGTCAGCGCCAGGCCGCCGGATGGTGGTCAAGGGCGCCCAGATGAATGGGCCGCCTACCGGCGGTGCTGACGACGGGCTGTCCGAGGCGTACGCCAAGATGACGGCCGACATCCTGGCCGAGAGGTCGCTGGGCGACTTCCTGTCCGAGCACCCGGGCGAATTGGTGCGCACCGGCAGCCCGTTCCTGGTGTGCACCATACTGCCCACGCACTGGCGGTCCAACAAAACACTACCGATGGCCTTTAAAGTGGTGGCCCTGGGCGAAGTGGCCGACGGCACGGCCGTCACCATACGCGCCGGCAACGACGAAAACTACTGTGCCGAGCTACGCAACTGCACGGCTTTGATGAAGAACCAAGTAGCCAAGTTCAACGACTTGAGGTTCGTCGGCAGGAGCGGAAGAGGTCTGTATGAGACTGTGTCAAAAAAAAAAAAAAAGTGTAAACTTATTCCCCCCTCCCTAATCGATAGTAGCCAATTTAAGTATTCTGAATAGTTCCTATTTATTTATTATTTTGATTAACATGGAAAGTATACATTTTTCATTAAAAGCCTCATTCCAAGGGAGTGAGGCCCGTGGGTGTGAGAATTGCTATGGAGAAACTATATGACTATCTTAGTTGCGTTTTGAAAATGAAAAAAATTAAATCAATCAAAAACACGTGTCAAACTTTAAAACTTACTCAATTATTTAAATGTCATTTGTCTGCGTTCCATTAAATAAAAATACTTGAAATAAAATATTCATTTTTAAATACAACTTTTAGAAGTGTATTAATAATATACATATTACATTAGCCATTACGAATAATGTTGTCTTATTTTTGTTATCGAAACTCATGGCGTGTGTGTTAATTAATTTAATATGTATACTAACTATGGTAGCCTTGGTGGGGAATGTAATATTTTTATGATGGCAGTATGTTAATTTAGCACCCGAACCCCATCATGTACGATATTATGGTAAAATGGCATGTTTGATAACGCTAATTGGAAACGACAAACACGTGATGATTACCTATTGCTTACAGTTTAGTCGTTTGGCCTTTAGGGGGGGGGTGTCTGAAAGAGCATAAATTACATTTTCCTTGCACGTCGCCAATTCGAAAAGGTTTAGCTTTAAAATATGTACTTTTTAGTTCATTGACGAACCACCGCTAGTGTATATATTATACACTTTACCAATCAGACTTAGAAAAATGTATAAAAGTTTTTTCTTCAACGGTTCTTTTTTTGAGATAAATAACCTTTTACGTTGCTATCTCGTTGTAGGAAACCGCGAAAGCGATATGCAGTCAACTCACGAATGCGATATTGAGCATACACTAATAACGATATTTATAATATTACAAACGTGTCTTACAAAGAAAATATAAACTAACCTCGTCGAACACGATTATTATTATAATAAACGGTCGTCGAATCACACAGGATTATAGTAATGTTTTTTATGATAATAACACTCGTATACTAGATACCTACACTATACTATACCGCACATATTAACGCAGACCGCTGTAAAAAATAAAATAAAAATAAGCGGTAAGTAGTTATTAACACGGTCGAGTAGGTACCTATTCGACAACAGCTCCAATGACGGACAAACAAATTTTATGTCAGGCGCGGTGCGGTTAATTTAACGACAAATCGGATTTTTAATAATATTACATTTTCTTTTTTTATTCGTTTAACGTATCGGCATCGAAACGACCTTCTACCCAAGCCAGAAGGTAACCGGCACGGCAACGACGATGATGATGATAATATTATAATAACATAGGTATTATTATCAAAGCAGCGTGGACATTGAAAAGCCATGTTTATTATGGTGGTGTACGAGTAATATAAATAATATGGCGCGTCGTGTCATGCAAACAGTATTACACACAACTGGTCGTCGTCGGACACGTTTTGTCGGTAATTTAAAATAAAAATATACGAACAGGAGCGGACGCGGCGCTTTTTTAATATAAAATAATATAATATACGGCTCTGATGTGAAATAAACGTCATCGCTCCGACCTAAGCCGCGGCTTATATTATGCGTATAGGTCTTGCGTCCAACATCAATAGTAAATTGTACATTTTATGTGGAAATTATACCACGCCGCACGTTCTCGGAACCGTTGTTATGTATTGATTCTCGAAGAAAACATAAGGGGAGGTATAAGGGGGGCTTGACAAGTTCAGACACTTTGTTGAAAAAAACCTCTAGATTGGACGTTACGTCGGGGGGTTTGATTGCGGACATTGTGTGATTAGCATAAGTAGCGGTAGGTAAACTTTGATGAAAAATTAAATTCCGTACGGGGATATAAGTAACGTTTTCATCTTAGCGCGGAACACGATATTGTTTTATGTATAAAACCGCCTTTTTATTTCAAGCTTACTTGACGTATTTCTGTCAAGTTTTAGGTAATTATAAAATAATATCCAAAATTATAGCAGAGCGTGTAATTTTTTGCACACAACCACAAAACGGAATGGTCAAAAATAAACCATGATTTTCCACTCGGTTAATAAACGACCGGACAGTATAATCCCACTTGATATATTCGCTATATAGTCTTCATTGTGATTTATTAATGGTGGTTTTTTTTTTTTTTTTTGGTGCCACAGCGACAAATAACACGACAATCCCTTCGGTGGGGGATAAATGGGGTTTATATTATCATACCGTACATATTTTTTTACTATAACACTAAAGTCACTTTGTGATTTGGAATAACGAGTGTTAAATGCCATTGCATAATTTACTCAACACAATATTTTTCATAATAAATAAAGCCATTATTAACAAAATATGTAGGTACAGTAGTACGTTTTGGAAATATTTTATATTAATAAAGTTCTAACTTTAGGTAGACTTTTTGAAAATCCGCACTACTCTTCAACTTTCATCACCAAAAATGACAACAATTTAAGGATAATTTAAACAATTGAAGACCTTGGGGCAACAACAAGACATGTCCTTTTTTTTAATTTTTTTTTTTTCAAAACGTTTTAAATTCAAAAAAATTTTTTAGAATATTTTGGAAAAAAAAAAAAAATTTTAAAAAAAGGACATGTCTTGTTGTTGCCCCAAGGTCTTCAATTTTCATATTTAAAGTCACAAGGCAAAGAAATCATACACTACTATTAATTGTATTATAATATGTTATTAAAAAAATTGTTTATTTGATATCATTATATGTAATTTATTGAAACCTATTTTAGAATAATAGAATGCTGCGTAGCATTATAATGTATTTTATTAACCTTATTAGTTGATGAAACATACATTTTGTTTTATAGAAAAATGTTGTACCTTAGGTTTGAAGGGTCAATACTTACAAAGTATAGCACTAGAGTTTATGTTGTTTAAATTATAAGTTAGGGGCATGTTTTTTTTTTAAATTTTAAAATGAACTACAATGTATATTATGAACAGTAGTCTGGCCAAAATTCGAGACCGGCTTTTTTAGACCCAGGACCTAAATAATATATTATGGAATACTCGGTTGTACTGAGAACACTTAACACTTCTAGTATAGAATATTTGGCTTAGACTTTGATGTGTGTATAATTATTTGTTTCAGGAAAGAGTTTTACACTAACCATTACGGTAAGCTGCTCACCGCCACAAGTCACGACGTACAACAAAGCCATCAAAGTCACTGTCGACGGGCCTAGGGAGCCACGGTCTAAAACGAGTGAGTAAAGCCAATTATTTAGCCATTTCTTTGTTCAGACTTTAACCGCAGTAACTACTAATTTTCGACAAAAAGTCACCTTCTAAATAAAATTAAAAAAACATGTTTATCAGCTCAACGTATTGACCCTACACCGAGTTGTACAAGTCAAGTACGCTGGGTTTCTTGATGTCCATTCGTTTGATTTTAGGCCCTATACCTATACTGACCGTATGTTCAGTCAAGTAACGTGTAACCTTGGGTTTATTACAGTACTTTGGTTCGATCGGTCTTAGAGTAGGTATGCTGTATGGTGTTAGGATCTGATCACCGTACACAGCAGGCGACCTTAGGCGGATCAATCGCGTTCAAAATAGGTTTTTGTGTTTCGCTGAGTGTATTATGAATACCGTGCGACTGGTCCATGATAACAGCGCTGTCGATCTTAAAGCTTAAGAAAAGAGTCGTAAAGTCCTTTGTGGGCTTTATTTACAGGGTTTGTTAGAAGGACGAGTACAGACGAACGAGTTAAAACGGCTATTAATATCCGTGTCCCTGGGCTCCATTCGTTAGTAACTTTTGTACTTAGGTCCGCCATATTTGTTTTATTGTTTGCTCTTGGAAAATAACTTAAACGAATTGTAATAATTCCAACTTCGATGCGGAGCTGATAGGAAAGTATTGTTTTTACAATGATGTGTCTCTAATTGTTTTTTGTGTCTGAACCCACGATATCTAAGCAGCTAAACAGAGTTCTACCTATAGCAGCTCTATAGATCAGAAATCGTACCTTGGAGGTACTTTTGTGGGTCAAAAGTTTTAAAAAAATTGCCCCTTCTCCATTAAAGTCAAGAAAAACACCCAAATATTCTCATTATTTCTCAATTTAAAATTACGACGCTCTATACAATTTTTTTAAAAATAGTTAAATAAGTTTCAAATTTGTATTGAATATTCTTTAGACATAGTACTACCCGGTAAATATTGACAAACCAAAAAACAGAGGTGCAAACTTTTTATTTATTTAGCTTTTTTAGGTGAATTTTTTTTAGTGTAAGGGGTATGAAAATTATCCTAAATGTAGATTTAAAATAGAGCTATAACACAACCAATTTTCTCAAAAATCTGAAGCCAAATGTTTTTTTATTAAAAATAGGCGCGTACAATACAATATTCTTATCTATATTTGTAATTCAACTATTATAGAGTAGCATTGAAGCCTTTATTTGAAAGTGATTTTATCACTTTTAGTTGTTAGTTAATTCATATAGCCAACCCGTGACCAATATGCCCCTATCCCACGTACCCACCGCCTTTTGTTGAAGTATCTTGTTTTATTGAAGTCTTTAGTTTATTATTTTTAGAATAATCAGTATATTTTGTTAGTATTTGTATAAGCTTCATAATGCCAAAAGCGATCGCGTTATTTGTATGAGTAAGGGGAAAAAATACAGCTAACATATCATTGTAATATAATATGATGTTCCCGTTTATTTTCGTTAATACGGCCCGTGTATTAACAATATAATATGTATATAGCGCCAGATAATAAATTTACATTTATCCGTAGGCGCCGTCGCCTCTACCGTGTCCTATGTTCTATAATGTGATAATATATATATATATATATATATAGTATAATCTCTAATGTATATGTTCCATGGTCGGTTGTATGGCGTCTTTGTGAACGTTCCTCGAAACAAATGCGACCGTAACCGTTGGTTTGAGGTTAAACTTGTGTTTTTTACGATGGGACTCCATAGCATTTTTACGAGCCTCCGCCGCCGCCCGGTCCCTTTTCCTTTACGGTCCGGGTCGCGCCCGCAGGAGCGCCAAACATCAAAAGGCGGCCCCGTTTTCCTACGACGGTTTGTTTATAATACGCTGGCGCGCGGTCTCTTTAAAAACGACGACACCGGGAGTAGGTACATAATATATTAAAATAAAACAAAAAAGAAACTCGAAGAGAAGATAGAGAGAGAGAGAGGGAAAAAATCCGGTTTTTTAATACCACTTCACGCCGGCCGGCTTGGCTTTCATCTCGCCGATTATGTATATTATTATCTGGTAAACATATTATTATATACTTGTATTATTATCATCATCATCGCCGTCGGTATACGTCGTGGTCGTTAAAAAGTTGGCGGCCCGTCCGACAAACAACGGCTCCTCCTCTTGTTCTTCTGACAAATCTGTGTGAACTTTGCAGGCCGCGTTTTAATGACTTTTCGGAAACCGATCGCTTTGACGATTCGCCACCGCCGCGCACCGCACCGTCATTTATCATTCCAGACAGAGAAAGGACTGTTGCCCGGCGTCCGGGGTAAGCGACAGAGGGAACGCCGGGAATAGGGCCCGGGATAGACTGGAGAATGTGTGGGATAACCACACACGTGCCCCTTCGGTGCAGCTGTCGGGCGTGCCATTAATTGCCGGGCTTCCGCCACCCGCTGTACTTGTATAAGTAACGCCCGAGGAGAGTGTCTACTCGCACGGTGAGCGACAAAGGTCATTGGGAGCGAAGACATTTGTCCCCCGTCAGACGGAAAAGGCGAATGTGTAAGGGGAAACCAAAGAGTCTGCGGAATCGTTATCAATATTCAAACGAAATTCGCCCCATAACCCACTATGTATACCTGTGCATTAGGGGTGTGCGAATAATGGTGAATTGAATAAAGCGTTGAAAATTAATTGAATAATTGATTTTATGAATAACTCGAACAACGCGCGAATAAATAGCAAACTTTATGACCGTTTCTGTTTTCATAATTTCGTGTTCATTTTTTTTTTAATGTGAAAATAGATTAAACCAATTAGAAACACATATTAACTATAGTGGTTTATTTTTTCGGTAGAATAGAACAACGTAAATTAAACTAAGTTGACTGAAAGTTAAATTCACCTTCAATATGCCACTCTATTATAATAATAATTATGTGTTATTTAATCGAACGAAATCAGTAATGAAAATCGCTTTGGATTTTTCGACTGGGCTATTTTTTTTAGAACACAAGTTTTTTGTTTTTTAACACATCCTTGAGTGAATTCTATATTTTCACTGGACAAGACAGGCTGTTACAAACTGACCGACGTTAGCATAACAGCTTATACGTAGATGAACATAACGCCGAATGAAATTAAACGTTACGTTAGTGGAAAAAAACAAATTAATAACGTTTCTATACACGTACAGTGTCTGTCCGTTAAAATAATAATAATTTAATATGCCAAATGCACGTTGTCGGTCGTCTGTTCTCCGGTTCCTTGATTATACAGTGTTTCTCCAGAGTAATCGTCTGAAACGATATTTAATAACATAACAACACGAACCCAAACGTCTACAAAGGTCTGTTGTAATTATATAATTTTTTTTTTTTTTGAAGTTTGCCCTCTTTGAGAACGTTTTGAACGCATGAGCGGTTACTGTGAAATAATTGTGTTTGCGTCCGGGCAATTAATAATATAATATAGTAATTTTATTAAAATCTGTTTGAGTTTAACGGGCCACTGAAGGAATTTTATAATTATTGCGTGGCCATTTTTTTTTTATTTTTTTATATTGATTAATTTGTTTTATATTTTTAATACCGTCACAGGGCAACAACAACAGTTCCACGCCTTCGCGTTCGGTCAAAGGCCGTTCTTGGCCACTCATTTCGGCAACCCGTTGGATCCGCTGAACAGAGCAGCCGACCCACTTGCATTTCGCATGCCTTCCATGGCCAACTGTCAGAGTAAGTCGAATGTTAATTTTGTCTTGTTTGCCGGGGTTTTTTTTATCGCATACACAGCAGTTATCAGCAGCCTATAGCATAGGTACACGCGGGGGAGAACGTATGTAATGGGGCTCGAGGGTCGCAGAATCCCGAGGGTTAAAATATATTCTTTTTAAATGAAAAAATAATGGCGAACAAAATGCAAAAGACCGAAAACATGGCAGTACACCAATGTGCATAACCGTATATCTTGTTTTTTTTTGTAAGTACCTCTTTTTAAGTATGACTTCAACCCGCACGCCCGAAATCATAAATAAAATAGGGCCCGAGCGAACTGATTCGCCTTCACCGCTCGTTTAATCGCGCCAGACCTTATAATGTTGACTCCCCGACCAAACGTGACTACTCCTATATTTTTAGATAAGAAATTGACTGCGGCGGATTAAGCCCCAAGGCACTGTGCGCTTTAAATTTAAAAAAAAAACAACTTGTACAAAGATTAATAAAAAACGTTTGCGCTTATTCTTTTGAGACAAATAAAAATATTTTTTTTAATCAGAAATAAACAGATTATATTTTAAATTTATATACTTCGAAAATATTTTGAAGGATCTCGCCTCTAAAAATGCCATAAATATTACTAATTAGAAAAATATTCTGAAATTCAATAATATGTTAATGAAATATGTAAATAAAATTGATCAAGATAATATTTAATTAAAGAACACCTATCTTAATATTCATGATTTTTGTTTTGTACCGCAAAATGTTATTTATTATTATATTTTATTTGAAATAGAGGGCAATTTATACCTTTGACCATGTTGTAGCCACAAGACAGTGTAAATACCTTTAGTGTCTATAATGTTTAATCCGGCTCTGGCTGTTTTTTACCTGACATTTTTTATTGCGATAACTAATTATAATATTATATATACATACATTTAATAAAAATTCCTTTACATAGCTGCAAATAAACCTTTGATTCTATTTCATTAATTTTCAGCACTATAAAAACATAATAATATGAAGAAGTAGATATTGAGAATCATAAAGTTGAAAGTGACATTATTTTGAAAACGGATTTGTTCTTGAATTCTACAATAAAAATTAGTTCTGCTAAAATGCTGTTTCCGGTAGAAATAATATATAGCTCATTATAGGGTCAGAAATGTTGAACCTTTTGGTTCAACATGAGTTTTTGGTAATTTGAATACTTCAATATTTTGCTCTTAAAAATGTTTGAATAATTTTGTTTTGTAATTTATTTTACATTTTTAAAAAACAATTAAATTCGATTATTTTGTTTGTAAATAATTTGATCATATACAAATTCCTATGTCATTGGAAGTCAATTTTATATTTTTCTCGAAAATCACAAATTGTCACCTGTATTTTTTTGGTTCTTGACACTTCATAATATGTACGCTAAAAAAAACTCAAAATCTGTTGACAGATATTTACAAAAAAACTGTTACAATTCGGATTTAAAACCATTATTAGACTTTTTTTGCTTTACACGACTCTATGGCCAGATTCGGATTCAGCTGTACTATTAAAATCGTTGAAAAAATCATTGTATTTCGATTCTTGTTGCAAAACCCATGCTATTAACGCATTGTCCTTGCTCGAAAACACTTAAGCCAATATTCTTCGAGGCGAAAATAATAAATAACATTTTTGCAGTTGTATCTTCTGGGCGACGCGCCACTGGGCGTAGTGTTTGTTGTGTCTGACAAGAAGGTGGTGCGAGCACACCATCATTCATAATAATAATAATATTATTTTTACAATCCATTCGCCGCACTCTATACAATAAAGATATATAGCACAGCGTAAAATATGTAATAACAACAATAATAAATAGGTTTATCTGAGGCTTTTCGACGATCCGGTGCCCTGCTGGCGGTGTAAAACCTGCGGTAACGCGTTACGGCCCTAATGATTTTAGCACTTAAACTCGACCATATTATTGTAGCAACTGTTATAAAGTAGTCGAACGTCCATTAATCATACGACTCCCGTGGCCGCCACAAGTAGGTAAACGGCATTGCGTACAAGAGTGTTATTTTATTGTTGTACATACATGGTTGGGAGATATTATAATATAATATATTATGATTATTATGTCACGTGTGGTCCGTGCGGTAAACGAACGCCATCATTAGCAGCGCGGTCGGGACTGCCTCCTTTTAACATGTTGAAATGGATTTATTTCCCTTCACAAAAATGACATCGATTTATATTACATTTGTCTTTCTCCCGTCCGGTCAAATGGTCGTAATGTAGTAGGTACACATCGGTCAAGTTGAAGTCATTGAAGATTTTTTTTTTGGCATATTTTATACATAAATTGTTGGTTTTTTTTATATGTGTGAATGTTTACGTTTATTGTTGATGTTAATAATTGTTTGACAGATATGGGTCAGTTCGCATCACATCATTCCTGGGGATACTCTCATTCGACGGCTTATTCGACTTGGCCCGGCGGAGGCGGATGCACAAACTTTACACCACCGGCGTTAGCAGCAGGTGGATTTTCTGGCACTGCAGGTACTCCCGTAGGAGCCACGACAGCCACCGGAGCACCCACAGACCTACACTCTACCCTCGCCGGTCATCACGATTTGTTTCCTAGTTGCACGGCCAACGTGCAAACTGCGGTCTCCGGTAAATTGAATAATTAGCGACAAATTAGAATAAAATTAACTCCTGGCTCCTGGCTTAAAGGCTCATTTTACCTTACCACTTCCTAGAGTCAGCCGTTCTACTGTCTATTCCAATTGGCCTTCCACAACTTCCACACTTGCCAATCGTCCCTTCACATTTTCATTTGGGACCTTGTTCTCTTTCTTTTCACACATTATTCCCCATTAGCCATTAGTATTTTACATTCTATCTGTGTCCTTTGGGTAATAATTCTCCTTGACAGACCGTTTCGGCGCAATGCAACAAGTTCACGCCATCATTTGTCGACTCTACTTTCACGTTAATCATTTGATTCTAGCTTCCAACATTCCTAACAACCAGCTGCTTACCTTTAGCCCAGCTATGCCCATTTGATTCCGGACTGATAATTCACAGTCGTACGAAAAATCCACATTTAGACATTCGAAATCCTACAGACATCCTAAGTTTACACATATATATGTCTTGTAGCTGGTGGTCTCACAAAAATGTACGTCAAGCGGCATAAGTTGGGTTTAACCAACAGAGAGGGGTAAAAAGGAAGGAGAAGAGAGGAAAGGCGGATAGAAGAGAAGAGATAATTGATAAGAGAATCAGCTAATATGGGATTATTGATAAGGGAATTGACTGATAAGTGTGGGGTGGCAAATTGAAAAGTAAAGCAGATAGAGGAAGGGGAGGAAAATAAAAATTTCCTCGAAGTGACAGTGCGCGTATTATTAAAATTTCTTCTTATAGATACCATAAGACATATTCATGATCCAATGTTTTTCCTTCAATAGAAAAACTGAGTTTTTGTAACTAAAAACCCTTTATTTTTTCTTATTATATAAGAATATAGAACATTTGTTTGTGTTTATAATTCATAGCGATGCCTTCGTTTTCGGATACCAACGGATCGGTGACGGTCGGCGGTGATTTGGAGCAACAACTACTGTCATCAGGGTGTCATCAGCAACAGCAGCAGCAACAGCAAAACCGAAATGGGTTTTCGACTACCAGGGGTGGTTACCAACAGTCGACCGGCAACGTACAGGTCATGTCCACGCCGCCGGACCTACACCCGTCCACGTCTTCCGGTCCCCGGTCCACGTCGGATTCGTCGTCACCGGACTCGCCTACCGAGCCAATAGGCTCTACGGACGACATGATGACGGCCGGTTCGAACCACGGCTACGACCAGGTAACCGGTAATTACCACGTTACCGGCGGCGGCTGTCAACCGACCGTGATCCCGGCGTCGTTGCAGCTCTACTCGCAGCTCTACCATGCTTCTGCGGCCGGCAACATGAACCGGCATCACCACCACCATCATCACTATCATGGCCATCAACCGGACGGCATCGGCGTCGACCATGACCACTTGACAGGACCTGCACAGCGACCGGTAGTCCAACAACAAGCCGTGGCCGCTGCCGACCATTCTGCCGTTTGGAGACCGTACTGAGCGTGTGTATTTGCCGCAGTTGACCATTTTGGCTGTACAAGTGCATTCCTATATTTCTATACAAATATATGTGTCTTAAAACTATGTATTCCATGTCATTATGCATCTGTGGTGTTTGGGTAGAAGGGGATATGCCCGGGTCTTTCTACTTTGTTCTAGCCAAGCGAGTACGGTGCAACGTTTGACCTGGCCGTGGCCACTAATATTGATGTGTCTTTAAAAACCACAATTGAAACACTCAACCTTGAAATCGTGATTTGGACTTGCGCTCTTCCGCCAAAACACCACCGATTTGTTATTACTAGAGACGACTTTGCATGCTGAATGTATCCTATAGTTTCCGGTTGTATTCCAAGACTACCTATGTGTTATTATTATGATTAGATGATATTATCAATTGTAAACTAAACTGTATTGTGCAATAAGATAATTATTACTATTAAAGCATATTATTACTGTGTATACGGAAAATATCCTCGTTTGTTTTTAATATATAATATAGGCAACATGATATCGTTGCATATTATTGAAAACCGCCGGTATACTCACGGCCACGGCGTATGAATGTATATATATATACAATATACTGTTTGCAAATGAACTTTGAGAGACGACGACAAGAGGGTGTGGGAAGTACCCGTGTATAATCCATGTATTATTCATTACACAGTGAGCCAAACGCCTCGCACCCTGTGTACAAGATTCCGGCCGGTGGTTGTAAGTAACCTCGCTGTATTGTTCCTATACCTCGTCCTGCCCACGTCCTTTAGCGCCACTTTGGGGAATACGACACGGGAGTTATGACGAACGGAATTCATTATCTTCCTTGTGGTAGTGGTGGTGGCGGTGGCGGTGGACTGGTGGAAGGAATAAGAACACACGAGGCGGCAAAGGAATTTATAACTTAGAGGTTTCCCCGCGAGACCAATTGGCGGCGAGCTCTGCCTGCTGGTTTCTACTAATACGCCCTTTTGTTTTAATTCCAAAGTCTCATCTCGTATTCACGCCCGGGCACCGAAAACCGTTAATTATAATATTCCGCGCTCATCCGAAACGTGCTGTACAATATTGTTGTGTACAGAAGCCTCTCGTCTCGCAAAATACTCTCTAAATATCCAATATATTTTATTACTTACGCCACGTATATACTCTTGGCCGGGTATCTAAAACTTTTGCTCTACATAATTCAAAAGCCACCCCTTCGAACGTTCATAAGCGAAACCGGCCGAGATATTTATATGCACATCATCGCAAAACCATATTGTACATATTCTGTATAACTCCGTGATGTACAAGCTGGGTGTATAACGAGATAGTACCATGTGTAATAAAGTTGTAAAATATTATGTAATACCAATATCAAATTCTTCAATACAAAACATAACAATATTATACCAGTAGGTATTCAGCAGCGCTGCTGTAAGTAAACTATTTTGAACTTAACAAATGTTCAAACACATGTTGAAGTTTTATTTAGATATTGTTACAATTTACTTTAAAACTATTTAAAGCGATTTTAACTACGAGTAATTAATTTAATATGTGCAGTAAAAATATTCGAGTACGCAGGAAAGAATAAAATCATAAAAACATTTAGTTCTGAATGTGTTAAAGTTTTCATGGATTAAAATATTATGTGAATGATTGTTGATATGCATTCATGTCTTTAGTTTTATGCTGACGTTTTGGAATTATTGCAAAGCCCATTTTTGGAACGGTATTAAGTATTGACTATCGTAGTATAGACTATAATGACTGGCTCGCTTGTGTCCTATCACTATTTTTTTTACAAACTGTAGAACAAAATAATTATAAAAAATATATATTTTTTAAAATTTATTTATTTAATTTACGGGCTGAGCCCTATGAATACAAATAGAATTTACTGAATAGTATTAAGTTAACAAATAGTTATAATAATGATGTAATGATATAGGTGCTAAAACAAAAAGTATATCAAATTAAAAACTAATATTAACAAAAAAAAAAAAAATCTAAAAAATAAAAGTTTAAATCAAACCTCTCAGGCTAGGTTCAAAATACAAGGTTTACGCGGTTTATAGTTTACGGCGAATATTAGTTATCATCAATCATGTGATTCACAAGTACTATCAGATTAGTATATAAATCACACGAATATTACTTAATTATTACAAAAATAGTTTTTGAATTAATACTGTGAAATATGTGGTTTGAAACTTTGAACATTGACTTGTAATGTTGGAATTCCTTAGTAATCTAATATTTCAGTTAGGTATAGATGTACATAGCGTAAGGAATACCAAACATTAATAATATGTTTACTGAAGGTAATAATTACTGGCAAGTTCATCAGCGTTAACTCAGCGATTATCTACAATTTGGTAGTTACAGGTAACGTCATGTTAATTTAATTTGGCAATTGTAGAATTATAAACTAAATTCACACTAAAAAAAAAATAAAATTACATATATGTCAAATATATATTTTTACCAGTATGATATCTTATCCACTTGATAACTTATACTTACCCAAAACATATTATTTAAAACCAATACATATTAAAGATAATTAGATAAACGATAAGTGATAATAGAATCCGCTATACATATAAGGTAAAATAATAAGGAAATTATCAAGCTTTAATCGTTTGGTATAATAATGGTATGTGACATACGAATAATAATAATAATATATGTTTATAAACAATGCTGATATTTGCGTTTTAAATTACTAATAGCGGTTTTACCAAAACGCCGGCGATCACCAACACCACAGTCCACAGCAGTCAACAGAAATGAGCCGATATGGTTTATTGCACTACATTATACAATATATTTGTTATATAAATAATGTGAATTTTTCGCATTACAATTTTTTTTTTAGTTCGCTTCCGAGCTACCAAATAATAGAACGTAGGTGCTGTTAAATTTGTGAAAGATAAAAATATTATCGAAGAAATTATTAACCTATCTTCATAGTGATCATCTTTATATTATGTACAATTATTCGTTAGGAAAAATATACCGTAAAATATCAGCACCACACTTATGAAAGTGAAGAGGGTGAACGTGCACTTCAAAAATATAAGTGCCCCCTTCATATTTATTACTAATTCTGTGGCTAAATCATCAAATAGACACAGCTCATATAGGCCTAAGAAAAAATATAGGGCCTATGACCAACAACAGTAGCCGAGGTCTATGACTAAAAAGAAATTAAATACATCTGGCATATTGCATTAAATGAATGTACTAAATTCAGAGTTGGGAAAAAACTCCTAAAAATAAAAATGAATAATTAATAGTTAAAACTGAATTATGTCTTTAACTCTGATCACAGTGTATAATAATATAATATAAATTATATTAAAATATTGCTAATATAACTCAAATTTCTATTATCTGGTAATTGGACGATAACTAAATATTATATAAGTCCACTTTTTCAAAAGTCGTTTAATAAGTGTCTATTGAGTAAATCTGTGTGACTTCTATAATTCTATCGAATTCCACAAGAGTATACGTACCAGAACATCGTTTACAACTTTTACACTATTTGGAACTTTAAGAGTCGGACACGTAATTTTTCAACGGAAAAAAATGACAAGTCCTCTAATAAATGTGACGTACAATGAATTAAACTATAAATATTCACATTGGTATGAATATTTTCGTCATGTACAACCAACCTAACCTATCATTTGTCAAAATTCATTTATGCACGACTGCGAAAAATAAAGGCTATTCGAATAGGTTCGAGATGAGCTCGCCGATGGAAAAACACCATACTTTTCCACACGCATAAGTACAGCTCCATCTGACGGAAAAGTCGACGGCGTTTTTGTTGCCTTTCGCGATTCTTTCGCAACGGCGCGGCGGCCCCTCGAAGAAAACCGGCGACGCCCTTGGTTTTCTTACAGTTTTCTCGGTTCGACCCCGGTTTTTCTCCGCCCTCTTTTCTTCAAACAAAAAGTCGTATTGCGCCACCCCGATCCCGAGATGTCGCTGATATTTTCGCTTTTCCCTCTGCTCGAGTATAATATTATTTAGAATAGCAGCGCGGCCGAGCTGGTGTGGTTTCAAAAAAAAAAAATCGCAAGTGTAACAAAACGGTTATTTCCGCTCGTCACCGGAATACCCTTAAGTTCTAGTATCATCGGATACGTCGCAATAATGTCGTGTGTTTGCCGGAAAAACGGTGTAAACAAAACAGTATAAAGCGGTTATCGTGTGTTATTATCTCATCACGGCAACGCCTCCTGTTGTCCCCCGCACTGTTGCCGGTCCCGAATCGACACCGTCGCGGTTGCGGTTTTTGCTCGCCGCCGCCGCCCTTGTTGCGGTGACGGTCCTGGGGGAAGAGAACGGGAAAGGGGAAAAAACGCTTTCGCCAAAATGATTGGCTGCGGTTAACCGCAAACGCCAACCAACCGCCACACGGCCGCCTCCGTCAAAGCCGCACCCTGGTGATTTCTATACACAGCTTTGAGTACATACCTATAGTATGGTACAGCCCGTGTATGTATATATATATATATATATATATATACCACTATAATGATAACGATCCCACCGCAAGATGACGACCGCAGAAAACTTTTTTCCTTTTCGCCGCCGCAAACCGTGGCCGCGCACTCGTTCCAGGCCCGTCGGACGTTTCGGTTTGTCGTGCTCGGTTTTTATTGTTGACAAAAATATATATAATGTCTACAAGTTTATTTTTGACAAAAAATGCGATTATTATTTTATCGGTCTTAGAAAATACAATTATGCAGCGTTTGAATCGGTGAATCGTTGTGCGGTGCTATAATAGTGACCCGTCGTGTGAATAATATAATGATGTGTCGGAATTATGAATTTGGATATTACGTTAGGTTTTGGGCAACGAATGTTCCAACCATTCGCGTTTTATCGCCATATCTGTTTTCTATAAAGCTTAATAATATACCTGTTTATATTAGTTTTACTAATTATATAGATAAGAATTTTGACTTTGTACGGGTGATTCACTACTATGACCCAGTTAATGTCTTAGACGATATTAGACTTTTTAAAATTATTCATTTTTTATACTTTTATGGTTAATAATTCGCCAAACTTTAATATATTTTTCAAAAAAAAAAAACCCCATCCCTTATTTGTTGAAACTTTATGAACGCCTAAGATTTTTAAATGGTAACGTATATACTTTATTTGCTTATTAAATAAAACATTTTTTTCTGAAAATGTTGATTAGTTTTGAATAATTACTTTAAAAGTTTAAAATTTGGACGGTGGAGTATTATTTTTATACTCGTACATTACTCTACTACACAACACCTTAGTCCTAAATTGAAAACCTGAATAACTTTAAAAGTAATTATCTTAAACTGGTTATCACTTATAGATCAGTTAAAAT